GGATTTGCTATCCTCGATGGCGAAAAAAATGACGCAAGACTTCGACAGCCGGGGCAGCTGAGTACATGACAAAGTTCCAACCGGTAACAGGTAGCAATGAGGGATGACGTCATACATGCCAGCCTCCTCGATACCATGCCTCCTTATGGAAACCACGCGTGCGCTTCGAGCCCAACCCTAACCAGCATCATACTCTCCACCACACCCCAGGCATATTCCAAACCTCGTGCGATGTATGTTGCATGGTGGGCGCGTTTTGATGCGCCATAGCAATTGGTATATACAAATCTAAACTGGGTTTCTAGGCCGCCTGGAAAGGAAGGGGCAAGGTCTTGAGTTCCGGTTTGGGCCCAGATTGAGGTGAAAGCAATTGCACCAATGCTGGATGCCGGGTAAGAGGTAGGGGGCGTGCTGGAAGAAGGATGCATCGAGGTCAAGGAAAGATAGAATCACAATACTACTTGAGGAAAACAAACCAAAAACAAACAAAAAGGAAAGGAAAACAAAAACAAACAAAAAGGAAAACAAAAACAAACAAAAAGGAAAACCGGTTGTTTCATATCTTGTCACACTGAGCAAAACCAAAACCAAACCAAAAAACGATTCTTTACGGCTGCAGCCCAACTTAAGAAGACTGCCACATGCTTTGACGAATCGAAGATACCAGAAATTCCGGGTTCAGGCCTAATGACTTCTCGCCGTTTGAACAACGAAATGGCATGTGTTTCCACCAATACGACACAAACATCTATCGCTGATCCTAACCGTCTCTTTCACCCTTTGCACACAGAAGCTCAACAGTTCGCTTGTTGATTTGGACGCAGTGACGGCGTCATAGTTTTAGTTTTGGCAAACTCATGCATTTGTCCCCATCTGAACCATAGCTTGAAGATACTTTTGAATTTCACACAAATCAAGCGGCACATAGGTTTGTAGCTGAATATTGGCACGCACCGCCTAGTTGAGCCGCACTTCAATATGTTTCCGTGCAGAGTGTAATAAGGTTTTGCCTGACACGTGATTGGCATTAGCTCCGTTTCAAACAGTACAATTAAAGCCAGGCTATTCAAAGAGAATTTAATTGTCAATATTAATCCTTAAGCTTGTCTGGAGGACCACGAAAAAAACTCGATCTGACAGCACTCGGGTTTTACTAGTCGATCCAGAACCCCGGCCTTTCTGCACATTTTCACGCAGGCGGGGACTCCTCAACAGGGTCACGTATAGCCTTTGAAAGCAACTGTGGTGCTCCGTGGTAACCAAGTGACCTTTGAGAGGGATTTTTTGCCCTTATCTCATTGTTCTTGAAAAAGTTATTGGTCTCTCTGTGCAACTAAATTAAACAAGAGTATACAGAGGGGCGTGCATGTACAAAGAAGGGCTTTGGGTTCCTACTGAGGCCCTGAGCGGACCTTGGGCTCCGAGAACTCAGAGATCATCTCAGTACTCAGAGGGCTCTTCAGTGGTCTGAGGGCGGTCCCTCAGTAGCCTGACAAGTCCCTAAGCAGTCACTGCCCCCCTTGATTAGTTGTCCAAAAGAGTCGTTTCATTATACGTATATGCTCTGGGGCCAAATGGGTCGCCAGCGGCCAATGGGCTACCAACAGCAAAACGAACACTTCGATGGCCTGAAGCACCCACAAGCGATCAAAAGTTCCCCCTCGTGACCAGGGTGTCTGGGCGACCAATAAGTTCCTAAACTGTCAGAGAGGGACCCCACCCACAAGAGGCCCGTCAGTGGCCAGAGGGACCTCCCAGCGGCCAGAAGGGCACTGATCAGCTAGAAGGCCGTGAGCGACCAGAGGAACCCTGCATACGCAGAAGGTCGAGAGGTCAGTGCGGCCCGTGGACAGATGTTGTCATCGGGCTCTACGTCGCACGGAGCTCTGAGACTTTATACTTAATGCCGTCATCTACTTTTCACCCTCACAAAAAGGGTAGGCGCAGAAGAGAATCGAGCCCTGTACCTCTGGCTTCTCCGGCGCGCCCGTTAACCACCACACTAAAACGGTGCGAGAGGGCCTGTGTAGTTTCAAGGTTGCTGGTATGCTGAAGGGACTTTCAAATGGGAGACGGACCCTAAGAAGCTTTTATGTCTCTAAAGGAGCTTGAGTGCCCACGTCGGCCACCTGAGGCCTACTATCCATAACAGGGACTCTGGGTGGTCAAATGGGTCCTGGATAGTAGGCGGAGGATCGGCTCTAACCATTTAACACGGGCATTTTCTTCACGGTGCACGCAGCCAAAACAGCGCTGTGTGTACCCCCGCAAAATCCCCGTTTTTTGTGTCTACAGGGCAAGGGAAAAATGGACGTCCGTACCCACCCCACCCCCATCACAAACCCCGCAGGATCTCTAGCCATGACCTCAGTCGTGGCAAGATGGTTTTGACGGCTATTTCAGTGGGCCCCGAGCAGCCAAAAAAAAAAAAAAAATGTTGGCGACTGGGGCACTGTTTGGGACCCAAATGGTCCCTTCATCGCTAGACAAGCCCGTTAAGAACAGGTCTCTGAACGGTCAGGGAGTTCATCGAGCAGCCAGAAGGGCTCTTGGGCGATGCCAGGGACCCTCCAGAAGCCAAAAGGGCTCTGACCAGTTAAGAAGACGCCGAGCATCCAGGGGGCTTTGAAGATGACTAAATCACTCTGGTGACGGAGCCCTCAACAGCCAGAGGAGTGCTTAGGAGATTAATGCTTAGGAGTGCTTAGGAGATTAGCTTAGGAGGAGTGCTTAGGTGCAAAGCTGCCCAGTGCTATCAGCTCAGGTGAGGCCAGGTTACCTCAGTTCGCCCACATTAAAGTAGCTCTTTAAGCTGTTAATTCAAAGAGTTGTCGCACAGAAGCTGTCACACAATGGAATATCGCACTGAAATGTTTTAATAGCTTCACATCAATCTGCCAGTTTTCTCTGAACAACACATCAACCCTCGGTCTTACATGGAAAGCCGATGCGACCCCCCCCCCCCCCCGTCTCCTCCCAAGGTTTTTGAGCGTATAGGTCCAGCATGTTGTGAAGTCGCGCCCAATTTTTTGTAGCCACTGTGACATCCATTGCGCGGGTTTTGGCACAAGATGACGTGTTTCTAGCATTTGTAGTTGCTGATAAGCGGCGGTTTTCAGCACCGCACGGCGATCCACGGCCGGCATCGACAAACGCCGATTCTGCGGGCCCCGCGCGGCCTGGCACAGCCGAGCATCTTAAATGTGGGCCCAAAACACGTATAACATTATATTGTTGCGCTCAAAATTAAACGAGGGATGCATTTCCTTACAATCCATGCTGTTACGCCGTTTTTACGCGGTTTTACGGTGGTTTTGTACATTTGAACATGAAAACCCGAAATAGCATGATTTTCAGGAACATTTTACCATTGACGCTGTCTAGTGGGGTCAAGTAGCGACATAGAAAAACACAGCACGTATTGACGCGAACGAAAGCATTCCTGTTCTCGCTTTTTTTTAGTTCGAGCAAAACGCGTGTTGCATTGAAACCAACGTAAGCTTGTGGAATGCGAGCTGATTTTTTGTCGTAGCCGTCACCAAAACGTTGTTCAACAGCGCTTTGGCACCTAGCGTCGTATGAAAACAGACATTGTTGTCGTCGACCTTATCCGCCGAGTCGGCAAGTTTTACCACCCTTGGCCACAATGTTGTCCCAAATTTACATGAACATGTGGATTTGTCCGTTGATTTTGGTACCCGCAGGCTTATCCAGCCCTCGCAGCTGACCAGAAACGAAACGAGCACACCCGCAGTCGGTTCGGCAACACGCTCGCAGGCGGTTCGGCAACACGCTCGCAGTCGGTTTGGCAACACTCAATCGGTTTGGCAACACGCAGTCGGCTTGGCAACACGCTCGCAGCCGGTCTGGCAACACGGTGTCGGAGAAGATGCCTCGCGTGACTAATCTCTAGCAGCGCACATGTACGCTTTGTAATAACACAGATCACACGACTACAATCGGCGACGAAAGTAAAACTAAGGTTTGACAATGTCGGCGGTAAAAAAATAAAGATAGGTACAACATGTCTTAAGGACACTTGTTGTGTTTTATTTCTGACGCTAGAGTTGTCTGGCGGTTTCAGCTGAATCACCATTTTACAAAGCTTGTGCGGTAGTTCACCTTTTCACCACCACCGTCTTTCTTAGCATCTGACATGTCCAAAATTTCTAGATTGGCCATAATATCCGACAGAGCTTCCACGACGACAGACATTTAGAAATGACATTTAGATGACATTGAATGACAGAACATGACAGATGATGACAGAAACATGACATTGATGACAGAAAAATTGACGACAGAAACATGACATTTAGAAATCACCGTCACATGCATGTCCGTAACGCGTACCGTGTCCGCGTGAGAGTTGGGCTCTGCAGTACTAGATCGCCCTTCTCGCTTTGAAGAACCTGTGACGCCACCAGTGCAAGGTTCTCACGCCCGCGACGCGATTCAAGCAGCGATCATAGCCTGCGAAATTGCAGATACGTGTTTACCAGAACGCTCCTACGACAAGAGATCCACTTATTCATCATTGCGTGAGCCCCCGACACCTCTAAAACACCTTCCATGGCCTGTGGCGTCACAGAGCACCTGCTCCTCGCAGCGAGGTCTGCCCCGCCCCCTCCCCCCCCCCCCCACCGAGCGGATACGGGTCAGCGGACCGCATCCGCAGCGTACCCCGGCGTCCTCAGCACGCCGGGTTAGTGCGCCGTGCCGGCCCGAGACGCCGGAGCTTGCTCAGCAGAGGAGCGCTACTGAGCGCGGGCGCCAGCCGCGCCTGCTCAGTCGGCAGCGGTCGCAGCGCCCCGCCGCCTGTGGGCGCGAGCCTGGTCGTCCGGCGCGGTCCGCCACCTGAGCTGTGAGCCGATCTCGTCAGCTGACGTCACAGGCGACCCCACCGCGAGGTGAGGCGAGGCGAGGCGAGGCGAGGCGAGGCGTCGGCGTGACGTCACGGCCCGCTCTGACCGGTCAGTCTGACGGCCACGGTCACGGGGACGTGGCGCGTGACGGTTGACGTGACGTCACGGTCACGGTGACGCGACGCGTGACGGTTGACGTGACCGCTGTGGACGGCGGCCCCTCAGCTGCTTCAGCCAGCTCTCTTACCACGCAAGCTCCGTCAAAGCTCACACTGACCACAGCGAGGAGGAGCGGTTCACCGAGTTCTGAGCTCGGTCAGGGCGCTCGCGAGCCATCGCCTGTCGAACCATTCTCACCTTTCACCTCACCCTTTTCTCTTTTCTCACCGATCACCTTTGGCTGCTAGCCGTCCAGCTGCATCAGAGCCGCCGCCATGCTACCAGCGCCGCTGGCCCTCCTCGCGCTCATCTGCGCTGCCTTCGGGCAAGCAGGCGCCCAAGGCTGCTTCGACGCCGCCGGCACCAGCTTCTTCGGCGAGAACACGGCCTACTTCCTGGACCAGCGGTACAACTGCACCATCATGACGTGCCGCGACGGCAGACCCAAGGTGCTCCTGAAGCTCTGCGAGCCGCCAAGTAAGCCGACGTTGATATGTCTGCGGTTAGTGTAGCTCGGCTGGGGAGGGGGGGGGGGGGGGGGCACACCGTGAAGTGTCGGGCTCAGGCCTTGTGCTAGCCATACTTTTTATGCCCTCCCTCCACTAGTGGGAATCGGTGTGCGGGGCCTCAACGTTAATTGTATACACTGCCGAATGCGTCGTTAAATCCTAAGAACAACACAGGTGAAGGTTTTCGGTGACGGACAGGAGGGGGCATACATATTCAGGCATATTCTAAGACAGTCACTGGAGACATAACCCAAAATCGTAATGCGAACAGTCAACACCCGTTAAAGTGTTTGCAGCCTGGATACAGTGGGACACGTTCTCATATCTCCGCATTTGTGGAAATGCCTACTGTGCTGATGTTTCTGATGAAGCTCTGTGCTACTGATAGCAAGCGCACAAATGACATTGGAAATGAGACACAGCAACCGAATGACAATTTTATACCAGAGATGTGTCAAAAAACCTCGTGCGAGAGATCATGCTGTGCGATTTATTACGCGTAAAGCGGTCTGTAGCGCACTAGAATGCTAAGAGACCCGTCGCGTTCAAATGAATTATTCAGGCTCGTTTAATGTGAAATGTGTTGCACGAAACGTATTCGCTATGAAAACAAGGGCTAGATAATATTTCAAATGTCAAGGACATATTTTAAGACTCCTTCACCGTCGAAGATGGGTGTTGTGCCAAGATGAGCCCTAAACAAGCACATAGCATAGGTGAGAGGACGGTTAGCTCCATA